GAGAAAGAACCAACACGGAATACTATTTCACTCCTGAAGGAGTTTGGCATAAATAAAATAAGTCATCAAATTAAATCCACAGTCCACCTGAGTAACTGGGGAATACAAGTTTCTGTTATGGCTGGATTTAAGGTCAGTCACCTCAGTAAATAGCTGTTTAGGTGGTATAGTTATGCTTGATGAGCACCATTTCTTTTAGAAAGTTTTTCTGTTACTGGTAAAACTCATCTTTGGATGGTTCTCTTTCAAATCCATTTAGTAACAGTTGTCCTGGAAATAAACAAGGTATTCCCCAAATATTTGTACTCAATTTCTTACCCTTGACTCTTTTTTCAAATAAAGGCTCAAATATAGAATGCAGCAATCACCTGAAACATTACATGTTTTTGAAAAGGACCCAAGTATTTTTCCAGAAGAAATCATACAGTTCAACCTTGTTAAGGAAAAACAGGCCTCTATTTTCCAGGCAAGAGTTAATAGCTGTATTTAATTTATCCCTTACATAAAGTTATGGCTAGGCTAGGGTTTTGCAACTCTAATACTCCCCAAAGAATACTCCGTGACTTAAATGATGTGGTGGCATGGCAGAAGGGCTTTCCAAAGAGTTTACAACCTGTGCCTCTTCTTCTGCAGAGGCCAACTGCTTATGCATAATTTCATTTTATCCATATAGATTTATGTCCCGTCCCCTAACATAATATTAAGATGCCTCTTGCAACATTCCTGTGAGATAGGAAAAATATTGCAGCCCTTGTACTGGAAACCCTGCAGTAACCTGTTCTTTACAGCCCTTAATGCAATTTTTGCTTGTATTTTCATTTTGTGCTGGTTTGAAGATCAAAAGGCAGGTGACACTGAGGCGCAGTAATTTTAAGTGTTTAACTATTGTGCAGATGCTACAACTTTAATTATACAAACAGGCTTCTGTGCCTGTCCAAAAACTTCAGTGATGAACAATCTGCTTACACAGTGGCAGCAACAGGATCCATGAATTTATGTCCGTAAACATTGGCTGCAGCAGCAGAGCTAATTAGGTATATCCTCAGAAGTGCATCCCATATGGATACCTTGCTACGGGAAGTCAGCTACCTTGTTGACAATTAATTAAGTTATATTGTTTTACATTGATTTTCACATATATGAAACACAAGTCCTCAAACTGCTTTTCCCGACTCCTTTTTTTCTACCCAAAAATAATGAGCTAAAAAAATAGATGAAAAAATACAGGCAGTTTTTAGAAGTCAATTTTTACAATTGGCGAAGTAATGACCTACGGATCAGGGAAGGTCACTGTGAGTGTTAATAGAGAGGTGGTCAGGGATGGTGATTCAGAAAGATGGCACCTGACACACTGGTTAACACAAACAGCAGTTGGCAACTTCTCGGTCAGTCCCAACGTCTCCCTCCAGAGATACCATCTCTGAGGTTTTGCCCACAAAGGAAGTAGAACAGCTTTAATTATGCCAGAATATATTTACTACCTGGGAAGCAGTCAAGCCAAGACTGTTAATGACAAACAGTACATAAAAGGAAACAATGTACAATGCAAAGTATGTACAGCTCCGTTTGACAGTTAAGATTACCTTGGTATAATGATTTTTGTTAAAAAAAATAAAACAGCATTCTGAGATAGTTGACAATACAATCCAGGCCCATTCTTGGCTACAGAGACAAGTCTGTTAAGGAATTCCAGGTGAGTAAGAGGCATTGCCTCTGACTCTGGCTCTAAAGGATCCATAGAGGCTCCTTCTGGGGGCTGTGGGTACCACCATGCACCTTAAGATCTCCATGTCTCCAGACATGTTCTCTGCAGAGCCCAACCTAAAACAGGAGCCCTCTGAAACTCTACTAAAAAAAAAAAAAAAGATGAACTGATCTAAAGCACATCTCTCCCACTGGCCTGCCTGGAAAGCTCTCCCTGACATGGGAGCTAAACCACGGTGTCTGTCTCCTGATGCAAACCCCTGACAGAAACACACTTCTGCCTCCTAACAGAGAAACAGGGGCACGATTCAGTAATCCAACCATCCAGAGGTGGGGCCACCACAGGTCCTACAGCCCCAGGAAGGTGTCCCAGCTGCTCCACCATCACCCCCAATAAATCCTGTCCCAGCTGACCAGGAGGCCAGCCTTTCTTACAGGCTCATTTTGATTTGCAAAAGCCACTTATAAAAGGGAGAATACCACTTAACAAAACACATGAGAAAGAACCAACACGGAATACTATTTCACTCCTGAAGGAGTTTGGCATAAATAAAATAAGTCATCAAATTAAATCCACAGTCCACCTGAGTAACTGGGGAATACAAGTTTCTGTTATGGCTGGATTTAAGGTCAGTCACCTCAGTAAATAGCTGTTTAGGTGGTATAGTTATGCTTGATGAGCACCATTTCTTTTAGAAAGTTTTTCTGTTACTGGTAAAACTCATCTTTGGATGGTTCTCTTTCAAATCCATTTAGTAACAGTTGTCCTGGAAATAAACAAGGTATTCCCCAAATATTTGTACTGCAATTTCTTACCCTTGACTCTTTTTTCAAATAAGGGCTCAAATATAGAATGCAGCAATCACCTGAAACATTACATGTTTTTGAAAAGGACCCAAGTATTTTTCCAGAAGAAATCATACTCAAATATAGAATGCAGCAATCACCTGAAATATTACATGTTTTTGTACAATACAGAAAAAAGGACCCAAGTATTTTTCCAAAAGAAATCATCCAGTTCAACCTTGTTAAGGAAAAACAGGCCTCTATCTTCCAGGCAAGAGTTAATAGCTGTATTTAATTTATCCCTTACATAAAGTTATGGCTAGGCTAGGGTTTTGCAACTCTAATACTCCCCAAAGAATACTCCGTGACTTAAATGATGTGGTGGCATGGCAGAAGGGCTTTCCAAATTAAATCCACAGTCCACCTGAGTAACTGGGGAATACAAGTTTCTGTTATGGCTGGATTTAAGGTCAGTCACCTCACTAAATAGCGGCTGTTTAGGTGGTATGGTTATGCTTGATGAGCACCACTTCTTTTAGAAAGTTTTTCTGTTACTGGTAAAACTCATCTTTAGATGGTTCTCTTTCAAATCCATTTAGTAACAGTTGTCCTGGAAATAAACAAGGTATTCCCCAAATATTTGTACTGCAATTTCTTACCCTTGACTCTTTTTTCAAATAAGGGCTCAAATATAGAATGCAGCAATCACCTGAAATATTACATGTTTTTGTACAATACAGAAAAAAGGACCCAAGTATTTTTCCAAAAGAAATCATCCAGTTCAACCTTGTTAAGGAAAAACAGGCCTCTATCTTCCAGGCAAGAGTTAATAGCTGTATTTAATTTATCCCTTACATAAAGTTATGGCTAGGCTAGGGTTTTGCAGCTCTAATACTCCCCAAAGAATACTCTGTGACTTAAATGATTTGGTGGCATGGCAGAAGGGCTTTCCGAAGAGTTTACAACCTGTGCCTCTTCTTCTGCAGAGGCCAACTGCTTATGCATAATTTCATTTTATCCATATAGATTTATGTCCCGTCCCCTAACATAATATTAAGATGCCTCTTGCAACATTCCTGTGAGATAGGAAAAATATTGCAGCCCTTGTACTGGAAACCCTGCAGTAACCTGTTCTTTACAGCCCTTAATGCAATTTTTGCTTGTATTTTCATTTTGTGCTGGTTTGAAGATCAAAAGGCAGGTGACACTGAGGCGCAGTAATTTTAAGTGTTTAACTATTGTGCAGATGCTACAACTTTAATTATACAAACAGGCTTCTGTGCCTGTCCAAAAACTTCAGTGATGAACAATCTGCTTACACAGTGGCAGCAACAGGATCCATGAATTTATGTCCGTAAACATTGGCTGCAGCAGCAGAGCTAATTAGGTATATCCTCAGAAGTGCATCCCATACGGATACCTTGCCACGGGAAGTCAGCTACCTTGTTGAGAATTAATTAAGTTATATTGTTTTACATTGATTTTCACATACATGAAACACAGGTCCTCAAACTGCTTTTTCCAACTCCTTTTTTTCTACCCAAAAATAATGAGCTAAAAAAATAGATGAAAAAATACAGGCAGTTTTTAGAAGTCAATTTTTACAATTGGCGAAGTAATGACCTACGGATCAGGGAAGGTCACTGTGAGTGTTAATAGAGAGGTGGTCAGGGATGGTGATTCAGAAAGATGGCACCTGACACACTGGTTAACACAAACAGCAGTTGGCAACTTCTCGGTCAGTCCCAACCGACTCCTTTTTTTCTACCCAAAAATAATGAGCTAAAAAAATAGATGAAAAAATACAGGCAGTTTTTAGAAGTCAATTTTTACAATTGGCGAAGTAATGACCTACGGATCAGGGAAGGTCACTGTGAGTGTTAATAGAGAGGTGGTCAGGGATGGTGATTCAGAAAGATGGCACCTGACACACTGGTTAACACATAAACAGCAGTTGGCAACTTCTGGGTCAGTCCCAATGTCTCCCTCCAGAGATACCATCTCTGAGGTTTTGCCCGCAAAGGAAGTAGAACAGCTTTAATTACGCCAGAATATATTTACTACCTGGGAAGCAGTCAAGCCAAGACTGTTAATGACAAACAGTACATAAAAGGAAACAATGTACAATGCAAAGTATGTACAGCTCCGTTTGACAGTTAAGATTACCTTGGTATAATGATTTTTGTTAAAAAAAATAAAACAGCATTCTGAGATAGTTGACAATACAATCCAGGCCCATTCTTGGCTACAGAGACAAGTCTGTTAAGGAATTCCAGGTGAGTAAGAGGCATTGCCTCTGACTCTGGCTCTAAAGGATCCATAGAGGCTCCTTCTGGGGGCTGTGGGTACCACCATGCACCTTAAGATCTCCATGTCTCCAGACATGTTCTCTGCAGAGCCCAACCTAAAACAGGAGCCCTCTGAAACTCTACTTAAACCCCTCTTTCAGACAACTTACCAGGAAAAGCAACAGAAACACACATAGGAAAAGAATCTCTAACCACAGCAACTTCTGGTTTTAGAGCATTTTAATGATGGTTCTGAGATGCCCAATCCCACCCCATCCTTATATTTCACAACACTCTCAAGTTTGTTAGTATTTCAGCCAGATACAGTCACCCCACCTTCTTTGTCATACAGGTCCTTTTTTCTTGTGTTGATGGCCGAGCTCTCTCCCTAACAACTTCACACAGAGTAGAAACCCTATAGTAACCATGATGTCCCTCTGCGCTGTCTACTGGGAGGCATTAACTGATTTCTCCTCTTAAAGAAATTTGACTCGTGCATTCATACCACACAATTCTTATCCTACCCAGTAACTCTTTTTTTTTGGCAGAAAAATATTTTGTTCCGAGGGGCTGGGCAGGCAGAGACATCACAAAAACTGGATCCAGTTGCTTTCAGTATTTTTTCTGTACCGATGTGTCAAATAACTTTTGGGGCAGGTCACCCAAATGAATGCAGTTCAACAGGTTGGGCATGTCTCAGGCTGTTTTCAGCCACAGAACACTATAGGATTCGTTAACTGGCATGGATATAGCCTGCACTGTCATAGGGCTATCAAAATACAGATGGTAGAAACCAGGGCTATTAAGCTAGCTACATAAAAATTACAAGCAGATTTAGCCAATGAATCAGCTATTCTCACACCAAAGCAAAACATCCTGCAAAACAATAAAAAATAATCAAAAATATTATGACAAAAGATAAAAGTCATAGTAATTAAATACATCTATTATCTCTGTTCTGAATATAGTAACAAAAGGATTTGGAAAGCATTAATAAATGGGATTTCTGAACTATGTTGACTCTTTCCAATTCCTCATTCAGAAGCAGCCTGTAGATCTAGGACCAGGAATAATTAGCCATGGCCAGTAAGCAAGGATTGTTCAGGAAGTTACTAACACTTATGTAAACACAGGAATAAGAATTTTTACCTGGAGTTATTGGTTTGCCAGACGATAGCACTGGCTGAAATTGAGCACTATCAATTGCATTACCTTCCTTGACTCAATAGACAGATGTCATTTGTTAACACTGTAGATCCCAGATCATTTTAAAGGGAAATTAAATGAAAACTTGGATCAAATTAAAGTAGTCTTTAAGTGTGATACTTCCAATTGTGGTCTTCCAATGAGTAATGCTCTAACAGGATTCTGGCTTTCAATAAGCTACAGCCAGACACAGGTGCTCATTTCTTACCAGAAACTAACGGTACATATTTATAAACAAAATATTGCACTCTCTTGGTTTTTATACAGGAAAAAAAAAAGTTAAAAAAAATCATTTTCAGTATCTAAAATGAAGCACCTGCTTAGATCTTTGCAGGAGTTTTGTTCTTCTCTCAACAGAGCTCCCAGTAAAACATGCATGGCAGCAAACCCAGGTAACTAGTGGGCGTCCCCATATGTGTTGTGGCACTTGCAGCTCCTTCATTTTTTCTTGGGATGTTTAGGAACAAAAATCTAAGCACAGAGAAAACATAAAAGCATTTAAGATTTACAAGTAGACAGATCTGCAAGCTTGAGATAAACTTACACATAAGAAAATGCCTTAAATGCAATAAAACTTATTTTTAAGACATTAGAAAAAAAACCTTTTTTTTTTACAGTGAAAGTGGTCAAACACTGATATGGGTTGCCCAGAGAGGTTGTGGAGTCTTCATCCTTGGAGATATTAAAAATGCAACTGCTTAAGCTCCTCTGAACTAGGGGATGGAGTAGATGATCTCCAGAGGGGCCTTCCAGCCTCTGCCATTCTGTGATGAATAAAACCAGTCAGTGGATCTGTATTGCCTGTTAGGGAGCCCAAAACACATATGAAATTGTCTCCCAATTCCTCATTTCTTCACAGAAAAATTATTACGGTGAGATAATCTCAGAGATTAATTTTAGATCCGAGAAAGACGAAAGTACCTGGTTTGTTTGTTACGTACTACTAGACAATCAAAGAGTGAGGGATGGAAGGAGCGGGAATGTGCAGCACAGCCAGGGCAGGGGAAAGAGGGTGCCTCTGCCTCTTTCAGCAGCAGTAACTGCCAGACCAGCTGGATCTGTTTCTTGGTATGTACATAAAAAGCAAAAGGTGGGAGTGTGACAGAAAATAGCAACTGAGATAGAAGACAGGACCAGTGAAACTAAAATACATATGCACGTCAATCATTAAACATGGATTAGCTGCAAAACAGAACTCATTAATGCAGCCCATACTTCCCCCCAGCGATTCCACTTTCATAGGAAAAAAGTTTGCAACACACGATAAAATAGCAAGAGACAGGTGCCACAAATCCACCGACTCACACAGTCAGGGAGCGATCTCTTGCCAAGAATTGCACGAGCCACTTCAGCAAACACTTAAAAATGAGGCAGATGAGGTCTGAAGGAAAGATCCTGTAGCACCTTCAACCCAGAAAGAAGGTCACAGTTGGGCAGATGGTGAAGGAGAGCAGCAATTGAGGAAAATGAAAGAATCTGGAAAGCACATTCTTCTCCTAAAGTCGTTAGAGAAAGGAAGGCATTTTTGTAATTGCACATTTAAGACCACCATCTCTAGGAGAGTGTGCACATTTTCTATGGTCTTCAGACAAAAGCTCCTTCCTGGCAGGCAGAAAAAAAAAAAAAAAAAAAAAAAAAAAAAAAAAAAAAAAAAAAAAAAAAAAAAAAAAAAAAAAAAAAAAAAAAAAAAAAAAAAAAAATCAATTCAGTCAGATTTCATGCAAGCAAAAAAAAAATCCTAGAAAAATGCGTGCTTTAAACCCTTGCCCTAAGATTCCACAGATCTTAGCTGCAATGTTCTGCATTATGCTGCCTTCATTTTAGGGCATTCAGGGCCCCTCATTTAGGAAGTGCTCTGGTGAACCTTGCTGCTGTAGTGTAAATTATAACTTGTCTGCTCTGTCCTTCTTCCAGAGGCTGCTGCCACCATAGCAAAGGCAGCACAAGGGAAAATGTTCCTAAACTGGAGGTGACGTAGTGGACAGATCAGTCTTTTAACACTTTCAGAAATATCCTTCAGTAATAACACATTGCTGATATGAAGTGTTACCACCTGCATATATTCCTCCTGATGAGAACTGGCAGAAGCAAACACGTGCCCACAGCCCTTCACTCCAGTGCAATGCTACTGCCTTTTGCTCTGCCAGTGAAGGTGGCTTTGAGCTAAAATGCCAGAGAATAAACTGGAGCAGCTGAAGGGTGGACATCTGGTCTCTTCTGATGGCTATGTTAGGCTTTCCCAACTCTGGGAGAGCAACACTCAGGGTAATGCTTTAAGTGACCATGGCAAGACTTGCAGGGCTCATCTGCCAGTCGTAAATCTACCTCCATCAGCACTTTAAGTAAGTTGCAGGGCTGTGCACTGCAGTACGTGACGTGCAGACCCTTGGTCCGTTCCATCAACGCCGTGGTCAGGGTGGCCGAGCTCCTTGTACCACCACAGTGTGATTCCCCAGAGCTTGCTGCTGGAATTGAACTAACCAAGCAGAAAATCTCTTCTTTTTCCTCATCAAAACCCAAGAAAAATAGTTAAGCAATAAAACGTTGCAAGGATCTGTTTAGGAATGTGTGTTGTAATGCCCTGGAGAAGAAGGCAGAATTAGCTAACGTTGCTCATGACACTTGGTTGCTGTGGCTATCAAGGCCAACAGAAATGACTATAAGTTACTGCTGGTGAGATCAGATGCAGTCAGTAGACGAGCAGCCCTGCAACTGTTGAAAATGAACCTGTATAAAGACACGTGTATAAACATTGACACAACTGCCTATATTACATAGTGATAATCTTTGGACAAGCATCCTGAGAATGACAAGAATCCAGAAAACAGCCTACCCCTCTTTTTTTAACCACACAAGCCACAAAATGAGAACAATTCAAGAATTAACAAGTTCTTTACATACAGCTACTCCCACTAATGCAAGAGACTGATCTTACCTCACAGACTTTAGATTAGTCTGTCGTAAGAATCAGAGGAATTACTGATCATCCTACATACAGCATTATACAATAGACCAAAAACTTCACAGTCTTTTTACCCCGTTTGTCCACAATGTGAGATACTGGTCACTGGGAATGACGGGAAAATGGTTTAACTGAAGTAACAAATTATATGCTTCCATCACACACTAAAATGTAACTGAAAAGAGCTGCTGAAAGTTTTTTAAAAGGATTAAACTATACTGAAATATCACCTCAATAATATTTCACCAAGAGGTTGCCTTCTGATTGATTTATGTTTATGCCTTCTGTTATATGCCTTCTGTTTATGAAGTGAGACATAATTTTGAATTAAATGAGTTTTTGTGCTGTTTTCCTAGAAGACTCTCACCTTGTTCAGCACATATCGTGAGGTGCTTGCTTGCTAACCAGTTGTTCTAAGCTTGGCAGGGTCTCTACAGCTCAAAGTGTAGCTCCACACCTTATTTATTTCACATTATTTTCCAAATTCGTTGATATTCAACTCATGAGCTTGTCTAACATGAACAGTGTCTATCTGAATTCTTCACAAATGAGAATGAATTTACTTCACAGTAGCCCATTTTGCAGAGGGTGTATTTCTATTACCTCTATTTTACACAAAGAGAAATCGAGGTATGGAAAGATTAGTGTCAAATATCTCTGGTAACTTTGACGTATAATAGGAAATTTTTCAAAGACTGCATAAAATACAGGCGACACATTGATTTCACCTGTGTTTCAGAAAATTCTGCATTTCTGCAAATCAGACTGAGGTTCTCAAGATGGATACCACAAAATAAGGAACATGAAAATGAGTGATTGCCTATTAAAAATCTATTTTAACCGACTGGCTTTTCATCAGACAGGAAATGCAGTGGCAAAAGAAACACCCCTGGTTCATCAGGGCAGCATTCAACTGTCTGCATACAAAGTTCTTTTTTAATTCCAGTTTCTAGAATTAGTCACTATACTTCTTCCAATTTCTTCAACAAATCAGGCAACGATCCTACAGATAATGACTTTTTAGAAAAACAACTCATCCACTGAGTGGAGTCCAAGGGAAAGCAATATTGTTTGAACTAAAGGCCAGAGTATAACGAGTGCATGTAAGAATGTCACATTGCAAAGGCAACCACCAATAATTCATGAGGGTTTAACAAGGAAGCTATTGAAACCAAAGAAAAATACCTGCTTGATAACATAAAAATCTTAAATCAAAATCATGGTCACCTTCAGAGCTGAAACACATTACACCACCCTGCCACTTCTCCTAAATTGAAACCAATAACTCCAGCAGATTATCCTTTTCTTTATGAAGAAGTGTAGGAAGGGGGTGGAATGTACTTGCTGCCAGTAGACTCTACGGATACTTCTTGAGAGGAGGAAAGGTTCAAGAATCTTCTGTTCCGTTCCAGATCCGCAGGTGGTCTCACAAGCTACTACAAAAAGCAGGGAACACAGTTGCACCAAGGGACCGAGAAAAGTTCTCTGCAAAAGAAATCTCTTAAGGAAAGGGCTATGTCTGCATCAGAAGCCCTTCTAACCAAGAACTCCCATTTTCTATATTGCTTTATCAGAAAAATTGCTTTTTTTTGGTCAGTGATTACAGTTCTTGTAAAAAACTATACTTCTGCTTTTCTTTTTGCTTTCTCACAAAGCTAAATAGCTGCCACTAATTGATTCTGTAACTGACATAGCTTGGACCACCTTTTCATCAAGATCAGTGTTGTATCCAAAAAAATTTACATGAAATGTACATTTTATGTACAAACATGCTTGTAAATAAGCACATAAACAGAATTACCCAATTTGTATGCAAAGATGTGGGTTTCCAAGGGCAGCATTTTTCCATTACAGGTAAAATGTATGTTCAAACATGCACCCATTTTTACTAATTTGTACCTTAATGAATAATAGCAATGAACGTTTACTTAATAAAACATTTGAACCTGGCAGTACTGCTTTTTAATGAACATTTTTAGAAAGTGCGGCATGTTTTGCATTTACAATTTAACTGTGGGAACAGTCAAAAAAGACAACATAGGTACTTGCATTTCCTAGAAATTCACCACCAGCGCACACTTCTCTCCATAATTCCCTCTTAACTATCATATTTCTGTGTTTATACCATGTCCACATTTGTGATACCAGATCATCTTATGTAGCATGCAATAAAATATCCTGTCTGAAATATCTCACCTTCTATTTCATATTGCATTGAAGACCCATGAGTTGCTATCTCTCTCCTAAGAGTTTATCGTTTATTTAGTCTCTGTATCATCACAGCATATATTTGGACTGAAAGTTTAGAATCATTTTTCAGCTCTAATTATTGGGAACAGGGTGGCTAAAATCATCTGTATTGACCTGTATTAGAATTTAGCCAGGATGCTCTGGCAAACACTAGTATGTGTCAGTCTGCACTTGATTCGTACTCCCTGCACTTTTAGTATGTCAGAACACAATAATACTACCCTGTCAAAAGAACCAACCCAACCCAAACAAGAAAACCATGCTATAGCAAATTAAACATTGCAACACGTACAACAGCTGCTGTATCTGTCCTGCTAAACAAAACAAAGATCTGAAAAGTCTTTCAAAGTCTGAAAATCCTGCTCACTCATCCTGCTTATCTTTTAGCTGAACCCTGGCACAGTTTAGCGCACAGCCAGCACCAGGGACCATTCCCCCAGAAGCGGGGTTTGCCTTCCCTCCACTCTACAGGGTCGGCCAAGGACACCTCAGCGGGCTTGACACCTCGTCCCAAATCCTGTTGCACATGGTACTTACCCTCACTTTCTCGTTTGTCATGGTTTAACCCCAGCTGGCAGCTAGATGCTTGCTCACCCCACCTAGTCCACACGGAAGAGTGAAAGTGAGAAAAAATTTGTGAGTTGAGATAAAGACAGTTTAATAGGTAGAGCAAAAGCTGCGCAAGGAAGCAAAGCAAAACAAGGAATTCATTCACTGCTTCCCATCAGCAGGCAGGTGTTCAGCCATCTCCAGGAGAGCTCCATCACACATAATGGTTACTGGGGAAGACAAACACCATCACTCCAAACATCCCCCGCTTCCTTCTTCTTCCCCCAGCTTTATATACTGAGCATGATGTCTTATGGTATGGAATATCCGTTTAGCCAGTTGGGGTCAGCTGTCTTGGCTGTGTCCCCTCCCAGCTTCTTGTGCACCTCCAGCCTACTCACCGGTGGGGCCCTGTGAGGAGCAAAACAGCCTCGCAACAACAAAAAACATCAGTGCACTATCAAAAGTATTTGCCCCCAGCTTTATATACTGAGCATGATGTCTTATGGTATGGAATATCCGTTTAGCCAGTTGGGGTCAGCTGTCTTGGCTGTGTCCCCTCCCAGCTTCTTGTGCACCTCCAGCCTACTCACCGGTGGGGCCCTGTGAGGAGCAAAACAGCCTCGCAACAACAAAAAACATCAGTGCACTATCAAAAGTATTTGTCATCCCAAATCCAAAACATAGCACTATATCAGCTGCCAGTAAAAAAGTTTACTCTATAGAATCATAGAATTGTCTAGGCTGGAAGGGACCTGTCAGAGCATCTAGTCTGAACATCAACTTAACACTGACAAAGACCATCACCAAACCATATCTATAACCACGCTGCCTACCCGTCTTTTAAATACCATGGGGGATGAAACCACGACAACACCGTAAAAGCACTGTGACAGGTTGTCATACAGCCTTAGAAGTATTCTAAGTGCTTGGAACTGGGGGGAAAAAAGAAAAGTTACACAAAACCCACCTAAATTATGCTTTAGAGTGACAAGGTCACCACATGGGTACGATGAAGCTGGAGGGCCAACCCCTAATCCCCACCACAGCCTGATGGCCTCCTACCAAAGGGGCCGGCTTCGCCTCCAGAGGAGAGCTTGGGATGTGATCCCCTCCTGCGGCACGCCTGAGGAGAACCGCCGGGAAGGAGAACGGGAAGGCCGGCATCTTGCCCGCCCGACACCCGCGGCCGTCGGGGCCAGGCCCCAGCCCGGCTGCGCTGGCCGCACGCCCCGGGGCCTTCGCCGGGCGGCAGGGCCGGCAGGACACCGTGCCCGGTGCCGCGGGAACGCCCGCCAGTCCCTGCCCTCGGCCCCG